ACACAATAGTTCCCTATATTTGAGTTAAATAGAGGGGACAGAACACCAAGCAAAGGCAGTAGCTTCTTCCTGCCCAAGTATCCTGTGGTCCATCTCATCTACCCAGCTGCTTCCTGTCGACAGTAGGATGTGATTGTATGATAGATTTTTTTTTGGATTTTATTTGTAGATCCTGGCTCATGTCTCCCTCCTCAGAAAAGGCTGTAAAAATTAGAATTACTTTCCCCAAAAGCAAGTCATAGGAACTGTAATCTTTCCCTACCTTTCTGTCCTGGAACTGGCCATGAAGAAATTCTCTGGCCTGCCTTTTATCTCATTCCAAAGAGGTCTGTCCATACCTGGAAGGAGGAATGCTGTACAGAGGCCAGGAAGACTGCAGAAGCAGACAGGCCTTGCTGGGTGTCCTCACCTGTCTCCTTGGGGTTGGAGACACTGTTAAGTCTACATAAGATCCCAAAGCATGGGGCCTGGAGAGCTTCAGTAGATGATCAGATCTCTGGAAGATAACAGGTCTGGATAACAGTGTCTGACAAATTCCTGGGGCATGGAAACTGTAACCCTTCAACCATGCCTCACTGGTCCTGAGTGTCTCTTTGTATCCTTTAATATTCCTTATGATAAGCTAGTAAGTGTGTTTCCCAGAATGTGGGGAGCCACTCAAGCACATTAATCAACCCAGAAATGGGGGTTGTAGGGAACCTCATTTTATAGCCAGTTTGTCAGAAACAGAACAGCCAAAGGACTGCCACTGGCTTCTAAAGGCAGGCTACAGTCTTGGGACTGATGCCATTTCCTGATAGCATCCAAATTAATTTGAATTAGGCTAGCTAGCCAGTGCCCCCTGAAATTCTTTTGCTTAGTTTGTGTATGAATAACACACAGAGACAGGCAGTTAGTATCAAGAGTACTCTGTGTTGTTTTGAGTTTGTATTCACAAACCAGAGCAGAGTTCAGCCACCCTGGGGCACCTGAATCAAGGAACTATGAAGCTCTTTATGCAGCCTCAGGAGAAAAAAGGAAATGTTTAGATGGGGAAAGGGCAGCCTAGGGAGTGGGGGTGCCTAGTCTCCCTGAAAGACAGTCTGGCTCCGAAGAGAAAAAAACTCACCTGAACAGATTCAAAAGGAAGAATTTAACCCTGTAATAAAACTAAAATTCTAGTGAGAAAGCAGAAACATAGCTTTGGAGCTCCTTGGTGTCCAGCAGGTGGCGATCAAATCTAAGATGGCCCGAGGCTGCACTGGAAATCACCATGGAGAAGCGGCCTGTGAAAAAATGAGCCAGGTACTCCTTTTGCTTTGTAATGTGTTCATCCTGACACCCAAGCCTCATTTCTCTTACTTCCCTCTTGGGCTAGGGGCATGGCTTAGTTGGTAGAGTGCTTACTTAGCATACACAAAGCCTTGGGTTCAACATCCCATAAACTAAACATGATAGTACATGTCTGTAATTCCAGCGCTTGCAGAGGCAAAGTCAAAACTTCAAGGTCGTCCTTGACTGAATTAGTTAGAGGCTAGCTTGGATATGTGAAATCCTGTCAGGCAGTGGTGGTGCACGCCTCTCATCCCAGCACTCAGGAGGCAGAAGCAAGTGGATCTCTGTGAATTCAAGACCAGCCTGATCTACAGATCGAGTTCCAGAACAGCCAGGGCTACACAGAGAAAACCTGTCTCAAAAAAAAAAAAAAAAAAAGTAACCATAGAGACATTTGAAAAGTGTTCCTAACCACAGAGTCAGGACTGTCCATAGATTCTAGGTTGGCAGTGGAGTATTGTCACTCCTGACAATCTGGAAATGCCAGTACCTTTTTTTTTTAAGTGTGTGTGTGTGTGTGTGTGTGTGTGTGTGTGTGTGTGTGTGTGTGTGTGTGTGTGTAGGCATGATACATGTGTGGGGATGTTTGCATGCCACAACCAAAGTGTCCTTTGGTGCACATCAGGAAGTCAGATGACAACTTGTAGGATTCAGTTCTCTCCTCCCACCATGTGGGTCCTAGGATTTGAACTCAGGCTATTAGGCTTGGCAGGAGGTGCCTTTACCCACTTAACTGTCTCACAGCCCCAGTAAGAATAGTATACAAGCATATAATGCATTTTGATCAAGTTCACACCCTTTCCTTCCCCTCCAATTTTTTAAGACTTTTATTTATTATGTATGCAGGGTTCTGACTGCAGGCCAGAAAAGGGTACCACACCAGGTCTCATTATAGATGGTTGTGAGCCACCGTGTGGTTGCTGGGAATTGAACTCAGGACCTCTGGAAGAGTAGTCAGTGCTCTTAACCTCTAAGCCATCTCTCTAGCCCCCGCTTTCAATTCTTATCCTATCCCAACATTTCTCCTGACCAGTTTCAAGTGCAGGTCCACTCGACAGCTCTCTCAATCTCGTTGTTTCTTTGGTTTTGGTTTTTGTCACTGCTTTTGATAGAGTCACTATGTAGTCCTGGCTAGTCTGGAAATGTCCGTGTACAGCAGACCTCAAACTCATAGAGATCTGCCTGCCTTTGACTCCAAGCACTGAGATTAAAGGTGTGCACCACCATGCCTGGCTTTTTTTTTTAAGCTACTGAGTCTAGTTAATGATGCCTGTGTGTATGTGAGTATAGGAAAATCTACTGGAATGTGGATAGCATCTAAAGGTTCATATTCCTAAAGGATGCTGATTCTCCTCCCCCCCAACAGCCATCAATTTTAGTAGCTCCTCAGGAATAGAAATTCCTTGCCTACCTCCATCTGTATTGGGATTTTGATTGGCTTGATCTTGTACAGGCATTATGCTTGCAGTCACATCTTCTATGAGTTCATGTGTAGAAAGGCTCTGTCACGTCCAGCAAATATGATTTCACTGCACATATCCACTACCTCTGGCTCCTAAAATCTTTCTGCCCTGCCACTTACAATAATTCCTGAGCTTTGGGGAGAAGGATTGTAACCTGACTGTTCCATTTAGCACTCAGCAGTCTTAACCCTTTGCACACTGGCCAGCTGTGGTCTCTGGATTGGTTGCCATTTACTATAAAAAGAAGCTTCTCTGATAAGGGATGGGAAATGAACTACTCTGTGAATGTGAAAATAAGAGCTTGAGGTGGGGGCGGGCATTGGTGGCACATGCCTTTAATCCCAGCATTTTAGAGGCAGAGGCAGGCGGATCTCTGTGAGTTCGAGGCCATCCTGGTCTACAAAGCGAGTTCCAGGAGAGCCTCCCAAACAATACAGAGAAACCCTGTCTCAGAGAAAAAAAAAAAAGCTTGAGGTGGGGATTATTACTATGTCTATTTAACACAGTAATAAAATTAGGTTCTCCCCCCAGGACCTATCACTTAGCTAATCATGGATTTATTTTTTGGCCCAGTTAACAGCACTAGCTCCATCTTAGGGATTGGGTTTTAAATCCAAAAGTAATTGGTCACTCCGACAGCATTTGTGCCACTAGTGCACCTGTGGACATAAATTGCCAGACCAGTCATTAATGTAGCTTACAGGGTTCACTGCCGGGTAAGACTTGATTATTTTCTCCACTAGTAGTGTGCGTAGTTCCTCCTAGTACTATGAAAGCTAGCCAGTGGGGATAGAGGTTCCAGGTGAATACCAGCTTGAATTCTCCATGATCTATGACTCAAATATGTGGTATCTTCAGCAATAGGATCTTATCATCAAGTTCTGGAGGGTAACCATGGTAGTTTGAAGAATAGCCTATGGAGTGGCAATATTTAAAAGGATTAGGAGGTGTGGCATGGTTGGAGAAAGTGTGTCACTGCTGGTGGACTTTGAAGTTTCAAAAGCCCATGTCAGGCCCAGTGGCTCTTTCTCCCTACTGCCTATGGATCCAGATATGGAACCTCAGCTCCTCCTTCAGCACCATGTCTGCCTGCATGCCACCATGCTTCCTAAACTTCCAAAACCATAAGTAAGCACCATTAAATGCTTTCTTTTATGAGTTGCTGTGGTTATGGTGTCTCTTCACAGCACTAGAACACTAACTGAGACATTAACAAAGAGCAGTGGCAGTAGCCTGTAATGTTTGGGTGGGGGTTAGAGGACCTATTGACCAACAATTTAAAAAAAAGTAACCTATATCTTCAGTGCCAAACCCCTTAAGTCTGTAAATATTGCCCTCCTGAAACTCACACATATACAAATCTAAGAGTTTCAAACCAGGACCAAGCAGGTGCAGTATAGGTCCACACTCAGCCACCTGGCATTCATGGACAGCAGGCCTCAAATTAATACATATGCTCTTTGCTTGCCTGTGGGCACAAGGCCATTGCCACCAGTTGGATACAATCAGCCTGCCAAGGTGAAGGGGATTCCACAGATTGTGTCCATCAGCTTTCCTGCCACAAACTAGAAGCAGGAGCTCCCTCTTGCTTGTGAAGAAATTTCTAGGAGCTAGGGAACAGAGACCAGGAAAGGGAGCAGTACTCTATCTGAGAACAGTGACAAAGCCACTCTTCTCTGTTGAGGGGCAAAAGCCTGGAAGTTGAAGATGCCAATGAACTCTGGATCCTTCTGCCTCCACTTCCCAAGTGCTAGCCTGCACTACCACTCTAGCAAGCGCCTGAAGTCTATCCCATATTACTCATGTAACTGCTTGAAAGTTGTCACCTTTTTTCTAGGCCTCACTTTCCCTAACAAATGATGGCACTGGGGTAGATGGCATCTCTTTCTCCCTTTAGCACCTGCTCTTCAGATGAGAAGTGAGTGTTGAAAGTGTCTAGTCTAGCACCAGCAGAACCACCACAGAAGCTGTGTCTAAGCTAAGGGAACTGGATACCGTAAGAGTGGGGAAATAAAAGTTCTGACCTCCCAGTGCCCTACTCCCATAATCTCTATTCCCACCACTGAGCATCCATTAAAGAGAAGTGAAGATCAGAAGTCAGATCTGCTATCTGTCTTCTTTATGTTGAAAAGGTCAAGAGCTTGAGTCAGTCTTAGAAAAGAAAGAGTGGTGATCCCTTCAGCGCACACACACACACACACACACACACACACACACACACACACATGCACATGCATGCATGCGCGAAAACTGAAATGATACAGAGAAGATTAGCATGGCCCCTGTACAAGGATGATTGCAAATTCATGAGGCGATCCATATTTTAAGAAGAAGAGCAAAGCTACTGTTGCAAATAGAGACTGGATGCTTGTCTGGGTGGCCTCCACTGTGTATATAAAGTGAGACCTCTGCCCTGTTTACCCCTAGAGCTGTCCTTCTTTGCCAGTGTCCACCATTCACAGTCACACTGGCTGACAGTGTCCACCTGGGGTGGACCTGTGAAAGGACCTGGGATGTCACCTTTGAAAAAAGGTAACATTCCATTTACTTCTCCTCCAGTACAACTCTACTTCCTTTGCCCAGTGAGCTTCCATAGGACATTAGAGAGTCCTATGGAAACACTTGGTAGAGCTTTCCCTCTGTGCCCAGGCTTAAGAAGCTATCCCATGTTAAGTGCTGAGAACAGACTTTGGGGAGATTCCAGTATGACAAATAACAATACTCATCTGTTCTCGTCACCCTGGGAAATCTTCAGCCTCAAGGAAGAAAATTCAGTCAGAGTGATTAATGTCTTTTTCATCCAATGTTCAGTGTCAAAAGGAATGTCAATTTTACCTGTCATTTCTCCCAGCTGTTTTAGTATGCGCTGATCTTCTCATGGGACAGGCTGTTAATGCAATAATTTGAGGCAAAATAAGTTTAAGGCTCATGCCTTTTCTTCTCTTTTGATTTTTCTAGACAGGGTTTCTCCATGGCTTTGAAGGCTGTCCTGGAACTAGCTCTTGTAGACCAGGCTGGTCTCAAACTCACAGAGATCTGCCTGCCTCTGCCTCCTGAGTGCTGGGATTAAAGGCGTGTACTACCACTGCTTGGCGAGCCTTAAACTTTCAAGGAATGTATAATCTATACTAGTTATTAGTGTATAGTGTTATCCCCAACTCTATTTATGTAAAACAATGAATATTCTCTCTCAGTATCAGTGGGCCAAGAATTCAAAAGCAATTGGAATATAATGTTTACCTACAATGCATGAAGCCCTGGGTTAGATCCTCTATTACCAAATTACTGGGCTTGGTGGCATGTGCTTGTAATCCCAGCACTTAGGGAAATTGAAACAAGAAGATCAAAGTCACAGTCAAAACAAACAGGGTTCTGTTATGATATCTAAGATCCTGACTCAAATAATTCAAGAGCAGAATAGCTGGTTGGTTCGGGCTTAGTCTCTTTCAAAAAGTTGCAGTCAAGATATATAGGTGGACTGGGCAGTAGTGGTAGTGCACACCTTTAGTCCCAGCATTTAGGAGGCAGAGGCAGGCAGATCTCTGAGAGTTCGAGGCCAGCCTGATCGACAGAGTGAGTTCCAGAACAGCCAGGGCTACATAGACCCTGTCTCAAAAAAAAAAAAAAAAAAAAAAACCCTCTTTGGGAGGTGTTTCTCATAGCAATGGCTCATTGTTCAGAGCACTTGCTGCTGGGTGGGGGTGGGATGGGGCTGGAGAGATGGCTCAGAGCACTGCCTGCTCTTCCAGAGGTTCTGAGTTCAGTTCCCAACAACCACATGGTGGCTCACACCATCTATAGTGGGATTGACACCCTCTTCAGGTGTAAAGTGTACATTCAGGTAAAGATTCATATACATAAAATAAGTAAATAAATCTTTAAAAAAAAAGTACTTGCTGTTCTTCCAGAACTCCTGTTCCAGGGGATTCAATGCCCTCTCCTGATCCTGGTTTCAGGCATGCACATGTAGTATACATAAATACAGACAGGCAAAACACTTATACACATAAAAATAAATCTTTTTAAAAAAAGAATTCTAAGTAATCTTTTTCATAAAATATTTATAGTTACTTCTGTCAAATATACATTCAGATGAATTCAGTTTCTAAATTTCACAGGAACTCTATAAATACCCTGGGCAATTAAGTGCTAGATTGTGCAGTCTAGACAACAAGGGCAGGGCTTGAAAAGATGCGGTGTTAGGATGAACTGAGGAACTTGTGCAGGCCTTCAGTGCCTGGCAACAATAAAGATGCCAGACCCTGGAATCACAGGAACAAGGCTAACAATAAGTTGAGCATGTTGGTGAGACAATGCTGAGTCCTCTACTCACATGGTGAGCTGGAAAGTAGTTGTCTGATTCTCTCAGACAAGAGCAGAGGACAGGAAGAAGTAGAGGGCATCGATGTCAGTTCACCTAGCTAAAGCCATGGTAGCAGTGGCCATACTCTCTCTCTCTAGGCAGGGTTTTTCTTTGTAACATCCCTAGCTATCCTAGAACTCACTCTGTAAACAAGGCTGGCTTTGAACTCCCAGAGATCAGCCTGCCTCTGCCTCCCGAGTGCTGGGACTAAAGGCCGCCACCACCCAGCCCATTCTTTCTCTTTGTTGTTGTGATGAGGTCTCACTATATAGCCAAGGCTGGCCTGAAATTCATGATCCTTCTACCTTAACCTCAGCTCACTCTACTTTTCTAGAAACTTATTCCAACATTCCAAGATCTCCATTCTCCCACCTAAACATATGGTCACCTTGCATATCAAGAGGCACATGGTATTGTCCTAATGCTAGACTGGGGGGCTGTACCAAAGCTTCTGGTCTCCTAGAACACAAGAGAACAATTTAAGGAACAAATAGACTAAACATAAATAAAAGCACGTTTGCCATAATATCAAAGTGCCAGTGTCATACCTTATGACAACTTCCATATGGAAAAGGAAGCCAGGCTATCTAAATTACCTGGAAATGGGCCTCTCCCCCACTAGTGAGCAATAAGTGGGATTCTAACCAAACCAAATTAAGAGGTTCTATGGGGTCAGACAGGATCCAGCAGCCTGGACCCACGCCAGCGGAAAAAGCCATTGTCTGGGTTGCTTTCTGGACTTCCTGCCCTCAAACACCTACCCCTCCCAAAATACACAATCCAAAACCTTCTATTCTGTCTCCCCAATGCTATGGTGAGAGATGGTGAGAGGCCATGCCCACTGTAGGACAACAGATCATTGAGGTTCTCCAATGAGAAGAAAGATCATCCAGCCATACCACAGTGTAGGGTCACAGGAGAAGGATGTTTCCCAACCTCAGTATTTTGAGATCCTCCTCTCTCTCAGTCCCCACTCACTTCTGGCTCTTCTCATCAGGAATATGTGGACTTTCCTGGCTGAAGTGAGCAACAGTTGGGTGGTATGGAGTGTTTCCTTGAAGGTATCAGTCTTCTAAGCATGCCCCAGTGGCTTTGTACCTGAGGGAGAATTCAGCAGACTGGGTGTGACTGAGAACCTTGTCAGGGATGAGGAATCTCCAATTCACTCTTGTTTTGTTGGGATTTTGTGGGGAGGGGTGGTTTGGGAGGAACAGGGTCTCACTGTCTAGACTAGGCTGGTATTGAACTTGCAGTGACCATCCTTCTGCCTCCTCCTCCCAACTGCTGGAATTACAGGAGCATACCAACACACAAGGCTTTCAACCCCACTTTCACTGTGATCCTCACACACCCAGCCCTTGCAGCCCAACCCTGACCCAATAGGAACCTGTTTCCCACTCCCTGCTGATTCCCACCCCCAGTCACTGCTTCCCACCCCAGCGCCCACCTCCATCCACACACTCCTCTGGCAAGCTGACTGAACTGCTGGCTGGGAACTACACTCAAAGCGGAAATGGGCAGTTGGGAGGTGTGATTTATGTCTCTGACTTCACCCTAGGCTGGAGCCCAAAAACACCCTCCTCCAAATGCCCTTTTGGCAAATTTCCTCTCCCTCAAAAACCTCAGGCTCTTGTAGCTGGTCATAGGTCATCAAATAAACCACCTCATCCACAATCCTAGCAACGCAGTGACCTTTCATGCCTCCAGCTCCTGCCCATTACAGACAAAGAAGAATGCATTGTCTTTACAAATCACCACAGGAGGCAAAGCCTCCTATCAGCCCCAAACAGTAGGGAAGTCCCTCTAACGTCTAATTTCCTTTTCTCCTGCTATTGAACCAGTAGCCAGTGAAAACAAAAGGGAATTTGCTGTCTCAGAATCAACTTCTTCTGGTCTCCTTGCAAATTTAAAGCATCCCCAACCTGATAGCCCACTGTTTCCATCTCTAAAGACTTCTCATAAGGCCTGATATTTTGGTGCACACTTGTAATGCCAGCACTGGCCAGCCAGAGCAGAATCTTGAGTTTGTGGCCAGCCAGAGCTACTCTGTGAGATCCTATCTCAAAATGCCAGGAAATAAGTGGGAAGGGGTGCTATCAAAGAGTCATATTCTCCTTCTTGGTAACATGGTGTGGGCATCCAACTAACTCTCATCCTCAAGGACTGAAAACCAAATCCATCCCATCCCACCAGCCCTATCCAGAATGGATTCTACTGGATGGAAAAGTCCCTTAACTCTGGAGATGTTATTTCACCAGTTAGAAAGTCCTACTGGAACCTAACCATCTTTTTCTGCCTTTTTTCTTCTTCTTCTTTTTTGGACAGGATCTTAACATGCAGCACTGGCTGTCCTGGGGACACTTGGTGTATACCAAACTGGCCTCAGACTCACAGAGATATGCCTCCTCAGTGCTGGTACTAAAGGCTTATGCCAACATGCCAACTTTTCCTGCTTTTAAAGATGGCTCATCAATCAAATGTCCTTGTTAACTTTAGCTGTTGGGACCATTAAACAAGAAAATCAAACCAGGCTTGGTGTCTTGCACTTCTAAATTCAGACTACATGCTGAGGCAGGAAGATTGCCCATTAGTTTAAGTGCCAATCTGGGCTACACTCTGAGTTTAAGGCTAGCCTGTGCTATAGAATGAGACTGTCTTGGAGAGAGGGAGAGAGGAGAGCGAGAGCCTGGCATGGTGGAACATGGCTATATCCCAGCATTTGGGAGATAGGGGCAGAAAGATAAAAAGTTTAAGGTCGTCATCAGCTACAAAGGAAATCTGATGCAAGCCCAAACTATAAGCCTTAAAAACCAAGTAATGGGCATGATGTCACACCTTCAATGCCAGCACTCAGGAGGTAGAGGCAGGTGGATCTCTGTGAGTTCCAGACCAGCCAAGGCTACATGTGACCTGTCTCAAAAAAGAAAAGAAAAGAAAGACAGACAGACAGACCACAATATTAA